CACCACGGGCACCCCGGGCACCCCGGGCACCACGGGCACCACGGGCACCACGGGCACCACGGGCACCCCGGGCACCCCGGGCAATTCATCCTCCACCTCATAAAATAGTGATAATAAAGTTATTATTAAATAAGAGCAAATCACTTGAAAAATAAGTGTTGATAATTATCGTAATGCATCAATATAATTTTGCTATAAAAGTCAATAAAATGCTCTAGTTAGTAAGTTATTATTTATATGGCTAGTTTATAATCAATAAATTAAACATACTAGTTTATAAACTATTAATAATGTTACTCATAAACATAATAGCTATATGCTGTATATGTGTGGGCATCGAAGTGAACGGTGCCCTAAACTATAACGTCCACCTATTCTACTATCCATGGTATGGGGCGCCGTCAGTGTCGGGTCACTTCGTGCACTGGAATGGCGGCGGACACGACCCCAACAAAGGGGACATCACATCTAACTATTGGCCACAATTAGGTCCGTACGACTCGTGCGATCCGAAAATACTGGCCCAACACATGTCATGGATCGCCAGCTCAGGCGCCGGCACTATAATCAACAGCTGGTGGGGAAGGGGAGGCTTCGAAGACCATTGCGTTGCGGCCATTATGGACGCCGCGAACGGACAGCACATTAAAGTCGGTTTCCATATCGAGCCCTACGGCGGACGCACTCCTCAGTCGGTTGTATCCGACGTCGAGTACATTAACGGCAAATACGGTTCACATCCGGCCTATTATCGGGACCCCGAGCGGGCAAATCGGACCGCATTTTATATATTTAATAGCCTATTGTCTGCCGACTGGTCGCCCATTGAAGGCCTAAAGAAGGAGAACATTATTTTACATCAAACCACAAACACAGCTCTGGGCAAACATTTCTCGGGCTTTTATAACTATGCCATTTGGGGCGACCGTAAGATTGTGGACATATGGAAAGTGATGAACACGTTCTGTACGGCCAACGATATGGTGTGTTCGCCGAGTATAGGCCCCGGATATATAGACAGACGTGCGGTGCCTACGAGTGTGGCCCAGATTTTTGATAGAAATAACGGCACGTTTTATGATAACAATTGGGGTTTTGTGGCCGAAGCGCCCAAATCTCATTGGCTGTCCATTACGTCGTTCAACGAATGGCACGAGGGCTCGATGTTAGAGCCCGCCTCTCACAGTCCGCCCTCCGGTATTGATTACCTGTCATATAATGGCGCTTACGGTAAGACTGGGAACGCATCCGAAAACTCATATCTGGAAAGGACTGCCCATTGGATCAGTGAATGGGCTAAACGAGTGTAAAATTATTATTATTATTTGCTATTTATAATTATTAATTATTATTACAAATAATAAAAGTTTTATTAAAAGTTAAGTGTTCTTTTTTAATTTAATTACTGTTTACACATGCTAAAATAATTTTTTATTGAAAATAACTTAATAATACAGCAATCATTGTAAACAGTCAATGTTCTCAATTGGAGCAAATAATCAGTAATCATATCGTGTAATAAGGAATACTATGCTTACAAAATATTGTATACATTTTGAATTGTTGTCAATATATTAAATTATTTCAACCATCTCTTGTCCGACACATTCTTCACAAAACTGGTGACCGAACCGGCATTTTGTCACAAAATGTATGCCAACATTATGTCCGCGACTATCAGTCGGCAAATTACGGCTGTATTTAATGGTTGCCCGGAAAGCATCGCATAATATACTATCGGTTGGCCGGCGGGACAGTTGTCTCGACTCCGATACCTCAACCAAATTATTCACACGACATCTCTCGCTGTCGTCACAGCAAAGGGTTTCTAGTGATTGGTTCAAAAGGCAGTGCGATTCCGGACACACATAGACAACTTGGTCGCCGCCCACATACACACCCCATATGGTAGAGCATCGCTCGCCATTTACCACGATCTCAATGATGTCGCCTTCGATAGCGTTTAATACGTTATAATCAATAAAAGGCGAGTCATTGATGGAAGGGTCGGGTGCGGCGAGTGTGGGAATGTCACTCTCGACTGACTGTTGTACAGTCGACTCGTCGATTCTTGCGCTGAGTTTAGTGACCAAAAAGTTATGAAAAAACTCATTTTCACTATAAGTAACAATAATGTTACTAATTTGGTCCAACATCTCACGGATGGTCAGCATTTCGTCTAATGACAAACGCCAGGCGCGCATTCGCGACAGGATTTGAGTACATGTGGGTCTCAAATCGTACATGGGCGAGTTTAACATATCAGAAATAGGTTCTTCTAGTTGCAAGTATTTCTCTTTTAAACTCGCACTTTTTTCATTAATCTTATTTTTAAATCTGTTTTTGAATAAAAACATAATGTTATTCCATAAACTGATTAACATAAATATAAATAATGAATACTGTATTACTGTAGCTAATAATAGGTTTAAAAGAGGGTTACAAAAAACAATGCATACGAGAATGGGCTGACATCAAACAGTTCACAGCAAATGAGTCCCAAACTGTAGATATCAGACTTCAGGTCATAGTATTTACTGTGGGCCACTTCGGGCGCCATATAATTGATGACCCTTTCGTCTATGGTGTGCGGCTGTCCGTTAAAAATATGAAGCTTGGCATAACCAAAATTACTTAATTTTACATATTGTCCGCCACTATTGAATACGGTATTAATAACTAGTATACTCTCAGGTGTGAGGTTTCGGTGTATTATAGGTATGTCCAAAGTGTGCAAATAGTTTAGACTTCTGGTCAACTCCTCAAACAATTCATAGGCAATGAAGTAATCAATGAGTGCTAACGCATAGACAGCGCTCGTGTCGTCGACTGAGGGTTGACTGAAGAGACAGTTTTTGATGTCAATTATTTCACGCATATTATAGTCGCAAAACTCTGTCTCAATATATTGCCTGTACTCCTCCCTCCACGCGCTCCGGAACTCAACCACAAAATCACTCCTGATTTGTGACAACCACTGACACTCTTGCAAGAAAATGTCTTTGTATTCTATTAAAATGTGTTACCAAATTTTAAATTAATTATTTATAACCTATTTATGATAGTTTACATGACTGAATACCATAACCAAACAAAGATGATATATATTTTATCATTTACCTGAATTATATATTTGAATAGCGTTAATAGTGTTGGACAATTTGTGTTTCACTTTGAATACCTCGCCATAACTGCCCCTGCCTACACTTTGCAGCACTTCAAATTCATTACCAAATTTACCCTCGATCACATCTATGTTGTGTAGGGGCAGGAGAGGGCCCGTCAATGTGTCACCTCTCGTATCATTACTTTGAGGGCCGAGTTTTGTTTTGATAAAATTTATGAAAAATGTTTGCTCAGAGAAATTGACAAACGATTTTAATATGTTGTCAATATTAATGTGAATTGCCGTTAGATCATCACTGGACAAACGCCAGGCGCTCGTTGTGGCCAATATCTTCTCACAGGTGGGTCTATCCCAAAAATTAGGCCCGGTCAACATAGTGACTATAAGTGTACGCCAGCCCTTATATTTTTCTAGCATGAATTTACCATATGACCAAGATGACCTGCTCATAATTATTATTAATACCATGTATAATATTTGGTTATGCTTTAACGTAATGATATTACTTGGAAATGTCGACTCTAAATAAATCGCAACAAATGCGGCCCAGACTATAGATGTCGGACATCGGGTCGTAATGCTTTTCGTAGCCCACTTCGGGTGCCATATAATGAAGAGTACCTAAGTTTATGGTATTTGACTGACCCTTTTGTTTATGAGGCTTAGCGTAGCCAAAGTCACAGATTTTGACAAACTGTCGCCCATGACCGGACACCGCGTTCAACACTAGTGTATTAGCCGGGTTGAGGTCCCGGTGCATAATCGGCGGGTTTAATGTGTGCAAATAGTTTAGACTTTTAGTCAACTCATCAAACAATTCATATGATATGAAGTAATCGATGAGTGATAGTTGTCGGCTAATTTCTGGGCCCCACCCGAAGTCTAAAAGTGCGTTTTTAACGGAGATTATTTTTTGCAGACTATAGTCGCAAAACTCTGTCTGAATGTGTAATATCTGGCCCTCAATCCACGCGTTTCGGAACTTAACCACAAAATCGCTGTTCATTTGTGACAAACACCGACACTCGTTTTGGACCGATTCGTTGATTTTGTCACTGATTACTATTTATCAGTCAAATTACAAACATTTGGTTATTATTATTTGCTTTACATATAATAATTTATTTATTACAAATTATATTATATTTAATTACCTTTATGGAATATTTTAATGGCGTGTATATCATTGGTTAGTTTATGCCGTACTTTAACCACATAGCCATAACTGCCCCACCCCATATTGGCAAGGCATTCAAATTCACGTTTATATTTTCCCTCGTCAGTTTCAATGTTACAATCCATTATGAATAATGATATGCTAACACATTATTACTAACAATTTATTTAATCATTATAAAGTACAAATTAAAACTATAATTTAATGTAAACTTATAATTATTTATATAATTGTTGTTGTTTATAAATGGATTTTGAATTAAATAATTTGTAACAAAAGCTATTATGTTATAAGCTGTTATTATTAGGGTGACCAGAACGTCCTTTTTTATGGGTTTTGTCCTTTTTTCGACCTCTGAAAACATAGTAAAGAAGGACGCGTCCTTTTTTTGAATTTTAGTAATTTCAATATAAAAGGTGAATATGTTTTAAATTATGGGAAATATCATTGATTGCTTTGCACTGTAGATCTGCAAAGCTGTATAGTTTAGACATTACAGCACACAAACAGTAAATAATAATAATAATAGAGTAGAAATATATTTAAAAATGTGATAATTGTTAACAGAAAACTATTATAAAAATCAAATAATTTTGTTTATTAAAAGTGTTTTCATTTAAATATTCATTTAACATGTGTGACAAAACAAAGGAAAATGCATAGGGTTAAAAAAAACTTTGCGTCCTTTTTTGTCCTTTTTTAATGACTATTTTATACCAGTCGTCCTTTTTTAAGAGGATTTTTGGTGGTCACCCTAGTTATTATGCTATAATATGCTATTACTAATAGCCTATTAGTTATTACTGCGATTAGATTCCATGTAAACATGGTAACTTATCTCTTATCTATATAAGATAATATATAATTTCAATATTCATTGAATAATATTCCGTTAATTTTCCATATTTAGAGAAGCATGAGTTAAAGGCATAAAAACGATAAAAATCGAAAGTAAATGTTTTTAGTTTATTATACATGTTAGTTTATTATTTTCCCGTATAATATATGCATATTATTTTCACACTCTTTATTAGACTGACCAGATGAGTTTATGACAATTCTGGATTTTAAGCAAAAATCAGCTCTATAATCCTGGATTCCTGGACATTTTATTTTTTTAGCTTCATTATCTTGGACGCATATATTAATGTATTTAATATTTGTAAAATTCTGAACAGGACATCTAATTCCGGGAAAATCTATGCCGTTTCTGGACATCTGGTCAGTCACTTATACACTTTTATATTGGTTTCGAGTTTAAGGTATTGTTAAAACTCTTGATACGAGTTTTGTTTATTTTATTCATTATAAAATTTAAAGACATAAATTTATTTTGAAAAGCATTTTGGCTATATTTGAAACACAATAATCGTTTTAATGTATTAATATTAAAGTTTTTACCGGTATATAAAATTTTAGATAAATAGTCTAAACATAAACAGTAATTAACTTAATTTTTATTCTAATACTGAAAACGCGTATAAATTCATTAATTCATTGTTTAGATTTTTAAAAATCACAACATTGTTCAGTCCCGGCGAAGGTGTGTGCCCTCACAGTTGTAGGGGTGGGTCGACGTCATAGACAACACCGATCTGTTTGCGGATCGCGTCCTGAATGCGGCTAATAGTGAGCGACGCCTCGCCTGACATAACACTGCTCTCCAATTGACCCGCTTTTAGACACTTTCGCACTTCATTCGCCTCATAGCACAGGCCTGTACTGCCGTACACTGTGGGCACTATCGGCTCCGGGAATGTGAACTCATGTACCTTATCGTTCACATACACCTTCTGACACGCATGAAAGTTGGCGCCCAACTAAATAACCAGGAACAAAAATAATAGCAAGTAACTTATCACACATTCAACTCAATAATGTATAATTATATTAAAACCATATAAAGTACCTTGATGATACCCTTAGTGCCAACAATAGTGGCCTCATTCTCGAGGGTAAGCATAGAGTGGCAGGAAATGGATGCCGTCTTCTGGTTCTTGTACTGAAGAGCGGCCGCGAAGTCAAAGTCGACGCCATTTTTGTTGAGATGTCCGACGGCCTCAACCTTTTCGGGCACTTCTCCGCCGAACACCTGCTCCACAATATTGATGGCATAGACGCCGACGTCGAGTACAGTCCCGCCGCCCAACTCTTTGGTCGCCACACGTATGACATCGGCGTTGGGAAAGCCGAGGTTTGCCGTCACGTGTAGGACATCACCGATTGTGCCCTTTGCTAGCTCTTGGAAGGCGAATTCGTACGAGGGTAGAAATCGTGACCACAGGGCCTCCATCGCGAACAGCTTCTTGGATTTGGCCAAAGCAAACAGTTCCTCGTTTTCTACATTTATGATTTTAGTGGCGGATAATTATAGCGACAGTTGACTGTATGTTTGTTTTGATTGTTACGTACGTTTAGTATTGATAGTGAGAGGCTTTTCCATCAGTATATGTTTGCCGTTTTCCAGCATGAGTTTGGCCGCCGGCAAGTGCTGTGAGTTGACTGTCCCGATGTATACCACCTGAACGTCGGGGTCTTTGGCCAACTCCTCGTAAGAGCCGTACGCTTTGGGTATATCAAAGAGTTTGGCAAATGCCTGGGCGTCGGTCAGCTTCCGGGCGCCCACAGCCACGAACTATAGCATAGGAAAGGGGTTTGCAATGTATTAGTTATACAGTAAGTCTGGGAAAGGAAAGGAAAGGCGACGTCCCGACACACACCTGATGGTCAGTTGTCTTCATACTCAAGACTGAGTCGACAAAGTCGTGGCATATTTTGCCGGCAAATATTAATGTGTTTATTAATTTGTATATGATCAGTGAGCTAACAATAAATACGGTTCACATCCGGCCTATTATCGGGACCCCGAGCGGGCGAATCGGACCGCATTTTATATATTCAATAGCCTATTGTCTGCCGACTGGTCACCGATTGAAGGCCTTAAGAAGGATAACATTGTTTTACATCAAACCACAAACACAGCTCTGGGCAAACATTTCTCCGGCTTTTATAACTATGCCATTTGGGGCGACCGTAAGATTGTGGACATATGGAAAGGGATGAACACTTTCTGTACGGCCAACGATATGGTGTGTTCGCCGAGTATATAGACTTAGATTGTCGAGTCATCAAAAAATACTGCTTTTAATTAGACGTGATTATTGATTGATCAAGTTAATTTTTGAACTATTGTATGAATAGTATAGTAATAGTACATAAATGACTATTTGCATTAAAAAGACTGAGTGTACACAGATGTACAAACTCGACATTCTAGATATAGACAGACGAGTGTAAAATTAGTATCTTAAAAATACAAGCTTGATATGATAATTTAACATGCATAATTTTTAATAATCTTAAATTACATTGTATTAATTATTTTCAATATATCAGCAATTAACTTATTTTTAGTAGTTTGTGTAGTTGTCTATGTGGTTTATAGAATAAATAAATATATATTTATTTAAATGTATTTTATTTTGCAAAAACAATACATTTTACTATTGTTAAACAAATATACCATATTAAAGACCGTTTGCCGTATTATTTTAGTTTACAATATGCGTATTAACCGTTTATCTGTTTCAAATGATATCAACCATCTCTTTGCCAATACATTGCTCGCAATACTGTCTCCCGAAACGGCATTTCGTCACAAAATGTATGCGAAGATTATGTTTGCGATCAATCGGTATATTAAAATTGTATTTTCTTAACGCTCTGAAAGCTTCGACTAAAATACTATCAGCCGATCTAACGGACAGTTGTCTGGACTCCGATAACTCATCCAAATTATTCACACGACAACCCTTACTATTGTTACGGCACACACTTTCAAGCGATTGACACAACAGGCGCTTAGTGTCGAGACAGACATACGCGATGTTACCCATTCCCATATATACAGCCCATATGGTCACACTGTTGTTACCGATGCCCACGATTTGAATTATATCGCCGTCCGTTGCCTTCAAATCGGTGTAATCGGTAAAAGGCATGTTATAGAGTTGACGGTCGGGTGAGGAGACCACAACGTTGTGAGGCGGCCGGTCGACAGCCGGTTCGTTGATTCTGTCTCTCAATTTGGCGGTCAAAAAGTTGTGGAAAAATATTTGCTCGCAATTCTTTAATGAATCCATTTTGTTATACATGGCCTCAATTTTTAGCAGCTCGTCGGCCGACAAACGCCAGCCAACCATTCGGGTCAACACATCGGCACAGGTGGGCCTTTGGTCGAATAGGGGCTCAGTTAACATCTCCATAATTGGCTCGAAAATGCATTCGAATTTGTCCTTTACATTTTTGTGCTTGTTTTTTATTGCTCTCTGAAACCTATTGGCAATCAAAATTCAGATATTAATTATATGATTTTTAATTTCCGCTTGCCCCCTGTCATCATTATTAACATTACTCATGAATTAGATTAGCCCATATAAATCCCAATAATTGTTACATTAATACATATTGTTTAATTTAATTATAGAAGTGATACTGATTGTTAAAGCATAGAATTATATGCAAATGCATATTATTACCGGTTAAAGATATATGTTTGGGACTTTGGGGGCAAACGAATCACATAATAAAAGGTATTTTGACAAACTTTTATTTTGCATATAAATGCATATTTGACTCATAAATGCATATAACTACATATTTGGCCCAAAAACATAAAAAGCATTGATTTGCTTAAAAATCATAACAAAACATGTCTAAACTTTTAAAAAATTTACGATTAATTGAAATTAACTGCATTTTATGATCAAATATTAATTCCAAAAACAAATATCTTAATGATTGACATTGTGTAGTAGTGCTAAAGTGTTATCAATTTTGAGTGAAACTAATTATTATAGCATTTGAAATATAATGATATATTTTAAAATTATATTTTAATATAATTTGAAATATTTAAATGAGTTTTGCATTCCTAACAAGCATTTTTATCATAATATTTCATCATATTGTTCATAAAATATATTTAATAGTATTTATATTAAATATTACAACATTTATAAATGCATATTTGAGTGCATATTGGACCATGTTTAGGTGCATATTATATGACATATTTGACTGCTTATAAATGCATATATTTCTATGCTTTATTGATTGTCATGTTATATTAAAATAATATACAGCTCATATTGTAATTGGTAAACTTATAAATATACCATTTATTTTAATCAAGATAGCAAAACGATCCTATAAACCACATTTTTCATATATGAATCGTGGTAAAAAATTTTGAATTTTCGATATTTAAGGCATGATTTTAAGATGAATTAACTGGGAAATCCTTATAAATATATTCAACATTATTTAAGTCTAAACTTAGTATGTAAAGAATGTCAAAATCGAGCCAGTATACAAAGTCACTCGAGCTCAAAACCATGTAAATTTAAAAATAGCCAAATTATGACTCAAATGCTAAAATTGCCAATGATTATAGCAAACGCTCAAGATTACTAATAATCATAACTAAACTGGTTTCACCAATTATGAAATGTGCTGAATTATTATTATAAGTTAATACAAATAAGATTTTAAAATATTTACGAATAAACATTGACTCCAAAGACTTCGCCACAAATTAAGCCCAAACTATAAATATCGGACTTCAGGTCATAGTGTTTACTGCGGACCACTTCGGGCGCCATATAAGTGATGTCCCCCTTGTCTCTGGTGTGCGACTGTCCGCTATAGTCGTGAGGCTTAGCGTAACCAAAGTCGCATATTTTCACAAATTGTTGTCCATTATCGATAACATTTTTCATTACTAATATATTCTCTGGTTTAAGGTTTCGGTGTATAATAGGTGTGTCCAAAGTGTGCAAATAGTTTAGGCTTTTAGTTAACTCCTCAAACAATTCATAGGCTATGAAGTAATCAATGAGTGCTAACACATAGACAACACTCGTGTCGTTGTCTGAGGACTTGGCGCTGAAGAGGCGGTATTTGATGTCAATTATTTGCCTCAAATTATAGTCGCAAAACTCTGTCTGAATGTATAGCTTCTGGCCCTCAATCCATGCGCTCCGGAACTCAACCACAAAATCGCTACGCATTTTAGGCCAAAAACGATACGCTCTGTCAAAGAAGTCATTATTTTGAGCATGTATTTCGTCTATCAAAAACAAACAAAAATTAATATTAAGTTTCAAATAAATATTACAACAAAAATTACCGTTGTTAAATATTTTAACAGCGTTTATAGTATTGGTCAATTTATGCATCGCTTTAACTAGTTCTCCAAATGTACCGTATCCAATTCTTTCCAACTCAACAAATTCGTTGGCAAATTTACCATCGCTCATTATTACGTCATTTATGGTAGCGCCTGAATCGTTGTAATCCGGTGGAGTGCTTTCATTTGGTGATTGCTTTGATTTAATAATATTATCGCTATTACAGAGTACATCGCTTTGGGCAGAAATAATTGACCATTCAACATTGCATTCCTTTGCGCGTGCATCGAGTTTACTAGCCAATAGGTTACGGAAAAATGCATGCTCAATCTTCAATGTGTCGAAATGTTTTTTTATTGTAACCATTTCTTTCACTGATAGCCGCCAGTCCCTCATTTGTACCCTAATTTGATCACAAGTGGGCCTCTTCGTGAAATCACGTCCGTTAAGCATATCTAGTATTAGAGTTTCCAGACATCGGTACTTTTCCATTAAATATTTGCCTTTTATTGATAGTTCTAAACTAAATAAAAAGTCAGTTAATCTAGCGCGTGTCGTTTTCCATATAACTCTTAACTACAATTACTAAAATTAAAACAACATATAACATAAATAGAGAATTCAATTCTGTAAATAGTATATAAGAGTGTGATATAAATGTACGCTCTTGCAGACATTATTTTAAATATTGATCACGTGGTATACTTAATATCCTATACATTCTGAATTGCTAGATTTTGGTCAAACCATCGTATGTTTTAAAGAAAAACATATATTATAATTTTTTAAAAGAATTATTGAAATCAAACATGTAATTTAGTTTGTACAGCTTAAGAAATTTGAAATTATACACTGCGATCATTTCTATATTTCTTATATTTTAACTAATAATATAGTTATCAAAAATGTATATGTTTTTAAGTAGAATATGTGACAAATATTTAAAATAAGATATGCAAAAGGTCACGTGTATATGACACTATTCAATTGAATCATCTCTTGTAGTCAATGCGCGAGGTTAATTGACAGTCCCTTTATATTGTAATGCCGCAAAATTTTAAACATTTAAAATTAGTGCATATTAATTATGATAATTTAGTAATTACTGGAACTCGTCTAAACCAAATAATTCGATGCAAATGAGGCCTAGACTATAGACATCGGCTTTGGTGTCGTAATGCTTTCCGCGACAAACTTCTCGTGCCATATACTTAACGGTTCCTTTATCTACAGTATTCGATTGGCCTAAATATACGTATGGTTTGGCGTAACCAAAGTCACCTATCTTAATGAACTGACGCCCAGATCCGGCAATTGTATGCAATACAAGTATATTTGCGGGTTTGAGGTCCCGGTGCATAATTGGAGGCTTAAAGGAATGCAAATAGTTGAGGCTTTCGGTCAATTCCTCAAACAATTCATATGCTATGAAGTAATCAATGAGAGGTATGAGTGTTATATCAATAGTCTGTCCAAAGGATGCGGCGTTGGAAGCGCTAAAGTGTTTATTTTTTGCTTCAATAATCTCCTTTAGAGTATAGTCGCAAAACTCTGTCTGAATGTATAGCCTCTGGCCCTCAATCCATGCGCTCCGGAACTCAACCACAAAATCACTCTTCATTTGTA